TAACAATTATTTTCCGGAAGAAAAACCGACATTTTCACAAAGAAATCAACTCGATATTTTAATGAAATTCGATGACTCTGATGTGAATGTATATCAGATATTTCAGGGACACGAATAGGATAACCTAGGGATGTACCGGGCGGGATGTCCACTGGACAATCACTACGGGACATCCCCTGGATGCCCCAATCATGTCATTGTACCGCGTGACAAAAAAGGGACGTACCTAGGACAACCCTGTGTTGTTAGGGCAATGATGCATTGCCACCCGAACTATGTATACCTGTCAAATTTCAAATCAATCGGGTTAAAATTGAGTCCAAATACCATTTATTATATAAAAAGAAGCCGCAAGAGCTTGTTGAAGACACAGACTAAAAACTAATACCATATTAATGTTCGACTTTTGCCATACCAAACGCTATACATGCACATTTTTCCAGATTAGATAATCAAAATCACAAACGTTTTACTCACCTGATACCAGAAACACTTGGAACGATCACTTACTGAAGTAATTTTAGGAGATGAATTCAAAAGGTAATTAATTTGAAACCACTATCTGGATTTCCAAACAGTCAGTAGGTCTAAAATCGACCAAAAATCGAGTAAATAATGTTGAAATATTTGGAATAATATAGTACTGCTCGCGCCATCTATTCCTGCTTCGAATAGTTCGAATACAGGATATTGCGAAATTTGACAGACGTGACAAAGTGGCATACAATTGATAGCCCTTGTGTTTCGATGGAGGATTAGTAAGAAACAAAATGTCTTCAAGTGGTGAGTTTGAATTTGAAAAATAGTAAAAGTTTCGAGGCATTACTCGAAAACGACTGAATTTGTCTCATTCATTCTTGGTAGATAATGTTATATACTGTCTGTAGGTTAATCGAGGAGGTGGTATATTCATTATTCCAAATTTTTTGGGATTTTCTCTCCTCGTTTCTATAAAATAAAAATATGAATATTATTTCAATATACGTGTAGTAAGGACAAATCAGATGATTTGCCCCAAAATGTCACTGCGTTTAAAGAATTTTCCTATCAGAGAGCCTAAAAGAAAAATTCACTAGCTTGTCAGTGACAATTTGTATTGAAAAAATTTTTGGAGAAAGGAAATAAAGGTATATAGAAAAAATATCAAATTTTCACTTATCTTTGGACGTTTCGGGACCGGTTCTGCTCCCGTTTTCAACATGAGAAGAGATTATTTCAATAGCGAAGTCGTATAATGTCTTGAAGCTTTTCAGTTTTCAATGACAATTGGTGACGTTGGCAATCAAATGAGTTACAGGATGTTTTCATTAATTGATCTTAAATTTACCATTTTCATGTTCAGATTTTAGTAGTGAATACCATGTTCTGTCTATATTAACTGAACAAGAAGCAATGTTATTGTCTCCGTTCAGAAGAATGCAAGCAGATTCCTTGATTTTTCTCTTCTGGTTGTTATCTTCTTTTCCAATAATTTTAATATTATTCCACTCTGCCATATGTTGTCCGTCTTCAGTAAGGATATGTTCAGCTAGTTTCGATTTATCGATGTTTCTTTTCTTTATATTGTACTTATGTTCCTTCGTCCTTACTGAAAGAGGTCTCTTGGTTTCACCTGTATAAAACTTTCCACAAACACAAGGTATACTGTAAATACAATTTTTTGATGATTGTTCTTCATTTTTCGGCTTTGTTTGAGTTAGAATTGATCTCATTGTATTTTCAGTTTTGAACACAGTTTTCACTTGAAATTTATCACCAACACGTTTTATTTTTTCAGATATGCCGGGAATGTATGGTATTATATTTGTCGTTATTGATGGTTGATTTTGTTGTGGTTGACCCTGTTTGTTTTCAGTTCGATGAATCGTCCTATCGACAGAATTCTTTGGATAAGAATTGAGTTGGAGAACATTTTTAATGTGGTGGACTTCGTTATTGAAAATTTGTTGGTCAGATGATATTGATTTGGCTCTATCATGGAGTGATTTGATTATTCCTTTCTTAATTACCGTTTCTAGATGTTCTTATTGAAAAATCAAATAACATCTTTGTAACGAGTGTTTATCGTAAAAAGACCCATACTAACAGATACTTGAACTTTCAATCAAATCATCAGAAAAGTATTAAGAAAGGAATAATCAAATCACTCCATGATAGAGCCAAATCAATATCATCTGACCAACAAATTTTCAATAACGAAGTCCACCACATTAAAAATGTTCTCCAACTCAATTCTTATCCAAAGAATTTTGTCGATAGGACGATTCATCGAATTGAAAACAAACAGGGTCAACCACAACAAAATCAACCATCAATAACGACAAATATAATACCATACATTCCCGGCATATCTGAAAAAATAAAACGTGTTGGTGATAAATTTCAAGTGGAAACTGTGTTCAAAACTGAAAATACAATGAGATCAATTCTAACTCAAACAAAGCCGAAAAATGAAGAACAATCTTCAAAAAATTGTATTTACAGTATACCTTGTGTTTGTGGAAAGTTTTATACAGGTGAAACCAAGAGACCTCTTTCAGTAAGGACGAAGGAACATAAGTACAATATAAAGAAAAGAAACATCGATAAATCGAAACTAGCTGAACATATCCTTACTGAAGACGGACAACATATGGCAGAGTGGAATAATATTAAAATTATTGGAAAAGAAGATAACAACCAGAAGAGAAAAATCAAGGAATCTGCTTGCATTCTTCTGAACGGAGACAATAACATTGCTTCTTGTTCAGTTGATATAGACAGAACATGGTATTCACTACTAAAATCTGAACATGAAAATGGTAAATTTAAGATCAATTAATGAAAACATCCTGTAACTCATTTGATTGCCAACGTCAGCAATTGTCATTGAAAACTGAAAAGCTTCAAGACATTATACGACTTCGCTATTGAAATAATCTCTTCTCATGTTGAAAACGGGAGCAGAACCGGTCCCGAAACGTCCAAAGATAAGTGAAAATTTGATATTTTTTCTATATACCTTTATTTCCTTTCTCCAAAAATTTTTTCAATACAAATTGTCACTGACAAGCTAGTGAATTTTTCTTTTAGGCTCTCTGATAGGAAAATTCTTTAAACGCAGTGACATTTTGGGGCAAATCATCTGATTTGTCCTTACTACACGTATATTGAAATAATATTCATATTTTTATTTTATAGAAACGAGGAGAGAAAATCCCAAAAAATTTGGAATAATAGATAATGTTATCTTCAATATAGTCATCACTCTATGATGATACACATTCACTGATTTCTAGAAATCTAAGGAGTATCAACGAACTATCACTAGATACTTTCTGCTCTGACATCGATTGAATTCTCAAGCAATAACCTAATAAAATATATCGAATAAACAAAGCACTCTGAATTCCATTTAGTAATTCTTTCAAATCGAATCAAATCTTCATCTTGAATTCTCAACTGATTCAAGATGTTTTGGATATCGCTTTTGTTGTGCCGAGCAACACCACGTGCTCGTGAGGACGAGTGGTAATGGTATACGGCAACACAATTGAGTTAACAATAAGAGACAGAATCATGAGCGATATTCAAAACGGCGTGGTATTTTGCTAGAACAATCCACGAAGCATAATAAACATTCAATATAAATAAACAAGCCATATATTGAATAAGCAAAGCGATTTATTCTGACATCTACAGTCTACAGTTATAATTATTTTATGTCAAACTGACAGACTCTGTTGCATTTTCTTTGGTAAACCTACTTCGTTGAAAACACCAACGCTGATAGACCAATGAGAATTGGAAGACAGCTAGTAAGTGTTTTCGCGACTATTTCACTCATCAGATAATCCGACCAATCACAAGCCAGAGACAGCAAGTTTTATCGCGAAAACACTAGCTGTTTTTCAATTCTGATTGGTCTATCAGCGTTGGTGTGAATGAATAGCTGATTCATAATGAATGCTTTTTTTCTGTGACGGGAAAAAACTTTGGCATTTCATCTCTGTTGGCAGGTTATAAAATGTCACTTTTCATAAATTACTTCTTTCCCGTGGGAAAAAAGTAGGTACTTTCTTTCTGGATATATATATCACATATATATACACTGTTCATGGCTTTTGTTGTGCTATATTTACGAAAAATGAGTCAATAATACCGTCTCCAAGAAAGAACTGCAAGTCCTTTTATCTTCCATTCGACTTCGCGGTTACGTATATTACTAAACAACCACTAAATTCGCAATTTTTTGAAATCAAATCACAGAATCAGACTGACAGGAGTGACATCGATATTTGATTACTTCAAAAGAATGATAAAGATGCCTATAACGCAGGTGTCCCTACTGTTAAAAACTTGAAATGTCACGTCGATAATTTTCAGATTTCAAAAAAATGTAATATCTTCTCAATATTGATTCGTCCTTTCTTCTGTCACAGGAAAAAATAGTGTATTGTACACGGGAAAAATATTAGATTTAAGCTCACGGTTTTTTGTCTCCCTCCGCTACGCGTCGGGATACAACACAACCTGGAGCTAAAATCTACTACTTTTTTTCCCTTGTATAATGAATAACTATTTATGCCTCGTGAACGAGAAAAAATGTAGCAAAATTTACTCTGATCTGAATACCTTTCAATAATTCTATCTTTCATTGTTCTCAATTGTGTTGGCGTACAGCAAATTATATGTTCACTTATAGTGATTTTTTTTTCTCCGTGCATAAGTGTTCAGTTGTTGCCGTCAGGTGTGCCGACGTGTTATTTTCTATCGCGAAAAAGGCAGCTGTTCCAAGGCTGGCTTGGATGAAATGAACTGTCAGAAACATTCTGAAGGATGTCCGAAGAGATACATATGCAATACCAAAACAGAATAGTGTTTTCCTTTTGCTGATGAACGGGGCAACTTCCTTCTTCCTGGATCTCTTAGGAATCAATCCTAATTCTTTTGATGTTGACGTTGATACCACTTGAGTAATACCACTTTCTGGTGAAGAATAAAAAACAGTCAATTTCATAATATTCATCAAGAATATATTATATTAATCAGTCATGTATAAATTAATGAACAAGTTGAAAATAACCTTCAGATCATTCCTATAGGAAGTTGAAAGGTGATAGCTACATATTGTTCGATCTCGATATAATACCTTCATACTCACATAAGAATATTGAAATTCTATAGATCGGGTTGATTTTTATATAAAAATTGTTACAAATAAATTGAATAGGGACCTACACTGATACTATGGGTATGAGATATGTACTGAGATTCATTCTAACTACTCGATATCAAAATCTTCGGCATATAATAATATAAAGAACAAGAATATGTATAGGAAAAAAAACACTTCTATTGATTACCAGATATGACTTTGGGTTGAATATCAGGTGCTTCAGTTAAAATCTGCTTAAAATTGGTTTGTGTTTTCTTCATTAGAATGAAGTTCAAACATATAATCATTATCTCAGTGATATTTAAGAAGTTCTTAGGTTTTTCGAACCTACGTTTGTTAGGTAATGAACATGAAGACGAAAAAAATTATCAATGAAATGAAAATTTTGATTCGTTGATTTTGAAATATTCGATAAATTCTACCTGTATTTTTCCACAAATAAGTATCTCTATATTTGCAAATTCACAAATAGTGAAATTATCCAGGATAGGTATATAATTTGATCATTTGTAATGCTTCTATACAGTGTGGAGACTTCAACTGGAATGAATTCGTTAGCGGGGAAGTGAATATTACACTGCAAACTGAAAAATGATCAGTACTATGGATTCCTCTTTCAACCAGCTTTCTTTTGAAAAAAACATGTTGGGGTTGATTCCAGCTACCCCTGAAGGGTAGTATTCTCCATCTTGCTCGCCAAATGTAGATGAATATATTTAAACGTTGTCCTGTGTCGCGAATTTTCAGTAAAACCATTCATTCCCCCTGTAATGAATTTACACCAGTTGAAGTCTCCACCCTGTATATGAAGATTCAATAATATAATCAGACATAAAAATATGTCGATTCTTCTCTTGTTTATCTTTCCTGAAGAAAGAAACAGAAGAAGCTCAGGAGGTAGACGACATCATAGTCTTCCTTTCATCATTGTTTCACTTTGAACTAGAGATATAGATTAGGATTCAATGTATGGAATGATAAATTAACCTCTAGTTATTACTAATATATACAAGGTGATTTTGAAATAATACCTACACATCGAACACATCATATAATGGCCTGCTGTCAAATGAGTATTACCAAAATTCAAAATTTTTATAATCTAATAAATTATCCTTGGAAATTGAACAAAAATGTGAAGAATAGTGAGCACTTCACGTAAATAAAACTGAAATAATTTATATATTCGCGTAATTAATCCTCCTCGATGGAAGTGACGTCAGAATACCCGCCAAATTTGAATAAACCCTATATATTTGTTCAAAGTGTCATTGAATAGTGAAGTTTGGGCCTTCTTATGTTTCAGATTATATGTATTTATTTCAATGTCACCTTGTAGCCAAGGATCACAATAGTTCATCTCCGCAAATGAATATAAAATTAAAAATATACTAGCTATCATTAGACTAAGAAAATATATATAATTCTTCAAACGAACATAAAACCTAAAAGTTCTTCCAATCAAAGCTGTCAGTTTCATTTGAACTCGAAGCATTTTTTTATTCGTCGGTTATTGTGATATTTACTCAAACTCGTGACTTTTTCCAATTCATTTTTGGATTCGACGTTCATTCAACATTGAATGGGTGAAAAATACAATTTTTCAAAGTTGTCAATTCGGTCAAGACGATAACGTTACATGAATGCGTTTCAAGAACATAATTCTAACGTGATCAACTAACGATTCGTATTTGTCGAGAATACGTATATTCCAGTTTCAATAGAACTTTTGAATGAAAAAAACATTTCTTCTGGGACATGTTCTCATAGTTTTTCAACGGATGGATATTAAACGTCTTTTCGACGTATACGTGCCCATTGGGTGTGAAGATACTCATCCAGTTCAAATAATATGATGAAAGTGTTCGGATCTGATGCTGAATATTTGCTTTTTGAAAAAAAAATTAGTAGCAGCTCTAATTGGAAATCCCTTTTTATGACACAAATTACAAAATCAGTAAAGCAAGTTCTATTCTGAACTTATCCTTCGAAAAAAGAGTCAGAACGTCGTAACCTTTCCCAATTTCAATCCCAACAATTTCCTCTGTTTCCTGGCGCTGAGTCTTGATAGAAGATTCCTCGTCCCTTCCAAAATGGCTCGTTCATCATCGTCTTCTTCTGGATCTTGATCTTGGGAAGACACAAATCCACTTTCTGGCCGGGAGATCGACAAAGGCTCTAGAAGTTCGAACCAACGTTCTACTTTTGCAGCAGAAGAGAGCTGTTAGAAAGAATGAGTGTATTAGAAAATATGCCAACAGGCTGAAAAATCTGAGAGGAAAATTATTACCCAGCTATATTTTTGGGGAACTACACTCAAAGAAATAGTATGGGTTGAATTGACAAAAAAATGTGTTTAATCAGCAACATCATTATAATTGTTGAATAAAACTACAATGATGGTACATTCAATGATTAGGTAAACAAAACAATTGAGAAAAAATTGTACATGAACAAATTCAACGTCAACCAAAAATATTAGTTGGTTTTGATGATATTTTTGTGGCACAACCAATAATTGGTAAAAATTAGTCAAATTGAACTAGGAATAGTATTTCAACAACATTATAACTGTAACTGAAATATCATAATAGCTCGCTCACTGTTATATTTGGTAGACAAACGAATAGGAAGTTTCAATCAACACATAAGTATTTCAAATTGAAATGAAGATAGTATTTCAACTATATTATATTGAAACTAAAATATCATTACAGCTTGCACACTGTTAAAGTTGGTAATCAAGCGAAACGGAAGGTAAAATCAACCTGCAACTATTTCGAACCACTCTAAACATAGTATTCAAACTATATTATGTTGTATATTGTATAACTAATATGTTATTACAGCTCGTTCACTGGCATAGTTGGTAGACAAACGAACAGAAGGTTAAAATCAACTAATATTCTTTGAAGGGTTGACAATGAGCTTGTGATCTTTCCATTTGTATTTGCAGGGCGACAGCGTCCACATGAGATTTTGTTGCTGGCATCTTATTTTGTCTTTATGTTGTGGCTTTATATCATTTTGATATTATCGTTTCACGTTATACCTATTCTGCAATGGAGTGATTTTGGTAAGTCGATTATGTAATCACTGTATTCAATATCGAGTTATAATTTAGTACTAAATTTGGTAATGATTTAACACACTGTATGAAATTATTGATCAAGTTCGTCTCTTTTTCTCAGGACTCTCTTCAATTTTTGGATCATTCAGTTCAAAAGAAGATATATCCCCAGGGAGGTTGTATATGACAAGTACCAGAACCATACAAGAAGATTGAGAAAAGTTTGAAACCTCTCGTCAAGAAGTACCACTGATGTAGTCTTCCCAATTAATAATCATGATGAGGAAAATTAATCAGATGATCGTGATTATGTGATGTTGAGTATTATTCATGGATTCAATCAATTCAACATCAAATTCATATCTCGATTATAAACAATTCTTGCAGGAAGAAGATGATAAACTGTGGTAGCAATTAAATAACGTCCATTGATGTCATTAAGGATAAATGGAAGAGTACATTCAAATAACGGAGACGAGAAATTACAAATGAAGAGAATTATACTGTAGATATTTTGTGGATTTGACCACCATGTAATGAATAAACTTGATGTTTATTCGAAATCTGTATTAATTCAGTGGTACAAGAACCAGAAAAATAGTCAATATACCTATATCTACTATGCACTTTGTTGGTGAACCAAATATTATGGCTATCTATACAAAATATAAGTGAAGGGACAAAAATTATGGTCAACATACCACTCATTTTGTTGTGAGATTAAAATCTGGTTGATAAAATATTTTCTTGATTAAAACAACAATTACATTCGTATGGTGACTAAACATATATTCAACTGTTGTTCGCTGGTTGATTTTATTATCAAACCAGATAGGCTCATTTTCATATGCTCTTTTTGGTTGATTTAACCCATCAATATTTTTATGAATGCTAGGAACATTTGGGATGAGTATTGGGCAAACGATCCGTTTTCTGTATTTCAACCCCGAAGTTGCCTGTTGCCAGAGCAAAATGTTAACCAGAAGTTGAGATTTTCAAGATGGCGGCAAGATTGTGACATTATCCTAGAAATTTATTTATACAAAAAACGTGATTCAAAAACTTGAGTACGAGAAGTATTATTGGGAACCTGTAAAAACAACCATCACTGAGAGAAAACTTGAGTTATCATAATTGGAAATCTGATAACCGTTATTACGATATCTGCAATAAATAGGGGACAGATGTGTTCATGTGCTACCATAGATGAAGTGAATTTTCAGGTGACTTGTAGTTATGGCAGCTTATTCAATTTGCAAACTTGCATAAAAACACCGCTGCTGAATAACTACTACTTGTTCTAGTTTCTATGATAATACAGAATGTCGAATAGGAATTATTCCCATAAAATGTTGCAGTAACTCTCCACTCTACAGTGGTTATTAGACTATCGACATAAAACAGCATGTTTTTATTACTGGCACAACCATCTTGAGGTAACGCAGTAATTCGTCTCATTTTATTATAGTTATCTGATATCTGCATGAAACCTGACTTTTGGACATGCTATTGTAATGTAGCTCATTTTCAACAGTTATCCCAATATTTTTCTACTCTAGTATATTCATCAAACAGTGGTAATAAGGTTATCAACATTATTCGATGGTATGCATTATGAAACCGTGCTTTGAATTACTGCAGTGAAAATAAATATCCTATCCACACTATCACTTTTCATGATCCAAAGTTATTCCCAGCAAACATGATTGAGCGGTAAATAGGCGGCCGATTGCTGGTAACTGCGGTTAGTTGTCGGCAGCGGCACACCTATGTCGTTAAAATGTTGAAACGACATCGGTTTTGCCGCCATGGCTGAACGTACGCATGTTTATAATGGATGTTTGTTATTCAGCCAGAAATTGCCCGTTTAAAATTCCCGACAATCGTGCCGATGTCGCTTTGACGCAGTATGTATGTTGTTTACAGGTCAGTGGTAACTGAACCAAACGCAATGTTGGCATCACTGGGTTTTTGAGCATTGGTAGTACTGCTAATTTATTTTCGTGTTTTAGTTCTGTGTCCGTAGATCGCGTCAGTTGTCTGTCACTTGTCTTCAGGTATTTGTTAAACGGCGTGATAATATTAATATTATTTAGAAAAAGTTGGTGAGTTTTATGATTGATCCCAGCAAACTATCGTCCGACATCAAAAATAATGATATATGTTATATAACAATAATTAAACTCGTTATTGTCTACCAATCCATTTTTGTGGTAATGATTTTGGACTAAATATTTGTTCATTACCCTATATTATAACAATGATGCTCCAATGCGAAGTTCAGCTCTTTACCTATATTCGAAAAATATTTGATTCACAGTAATAGATCAAACACTGGAAAAGTAATGTGGCTAGAACATTATCAGACTAAACCTATTCTACGTCGTCGAATCAACAAGTTATGATAGGTATATCGTATATGATCAAATATCAAATATAATTGAAGTATTGTACTATTTCAATTCTGTTGATTGATGGATTCGTAATAGTATCTTTCAAGTTTCGCAGTAGCCTAGTGGTATAAGCGTCTGACAGTTGATTGGATATCCGTTCGATCGCAAGTTCGAGTCCGACTCCCGACTATATCTTTTTTTTATTTCTAACCGAATAGTGTCGGTAGATAGTCGGGCGGCCTACTAGCGGCCGGTGCGACACGGGCTAGCCGGGCCGACGATGTATCATGATTCTGGCCCGCTGATGTTGACTGTCGGCAGTTTTTGGAGGGCGTCTAAAGGCCCGCGCGATACATGTTTGCTGGGTTGTTTTCAAAAAAAAAACAAAAAAATACGTTTAGTCTCTGAATTGAAATATTGGGGTATCTGTGGAAGTTTTTTACATTACTCATTGATTTTTTCGGAGAAATATCATCTATATGCATTACTGACGAATTTATTGAGAAATGAGAATACTTATATTTACCCTTTCTCCGGAGTTATGATGAGAATTGTCAATAAAACTTTCCTCACAAAAACCCAGATATTTTGATTCAGAATCTCATCGATCATTTTGTTTTTGAAATAAACCAATTTTAGGCCTTGAAAAGTGGGTATGGAGAATACTTTTTTCATTGCAATAATGCAATGCACGGTACGGTGTATTCCACAGATCGGTTCACAGCCAGCACTAAAACAAAACTTTGCTACATCACAGACATTCACCAACAAGACACGGCTCTTTCGATTCGGAAGATCGAAACCATTGAACAATAATTGAACACGGGCATCCATGACCGAGAACAGAGAAATGAACGCGATCTGTATCTTTGACAGCCTCAACACTAATGAAACACTAGAGCGAAATGAGCCGAATTACGATTGTCGAATGATTTCCTAATAACCGTCATACATGTGAATTGCTAGAGTTATTCGTCAACGTACAATGCTAGAAACCCAAACAGCTATGATTATTGGGACAAACATTATCTGAATTCGCCAATGAGCATAATACACAAAACGAGCTATGTCAATAAAAAATCTGAATAGACTGGAATTTATAAAATTCTCATAATGTCATAACACACATGCGTTGTGATGGTAGCAAATGTCCATTCAAGGGTATTACAAATGATTTAAGAAATCGATTTTTATAATTACAGAATGGAGAGAATACTGTTGTTATAATAAAATGATCAGGGATAGGAGATTTCCTTATAATGGTTATTACAATCAGAGCTGGTAGATATTTTTAATATCCAGTTTCTCTCAGTGCAGATGTAACATTTTTGAGTTGCCGACCAATAAGGCAATCCTCAATTTTCCATAAAAGTTTGTTGGAGGTATGCCATTATCATGTGTAAAAGTTTTATGAGACTAGAAAATGTATTATGAATAATTCATAAATTTTTGCCATGAAACCCTATAGTGGTGACAATGGTGACATTTGCGTACACCAATCTAGAGGAACTATATGGCGATGCCTATTCGTGAAGTTATTCCAAATTTCTTTCATATAATTCAAAATGGAACAGAGTTTTGCGCCTTTGTATAGTAATTATGTGAAGGTACTAAATGCGTTGTTGAAGTTATTAGCATCCATATCAGTAACACATTCAAAAACCGTTTCTCAGATACGTGAAATAAGCTGTGACATCTATTGGTAAAGGATGAAAGTTGATATTTTAACTGTGGTAGAAAACTGTAATATAAGAGTGG